GTATATCTTCTATCAACCAGATGTACTTCTTTGGCCTTTTAACTGCCAAAGAATCACCTCAAGTCTGAAAGGAAGGAAATGCCCAGAGGAGAGAAAAAAAGGCAGGTGACCAGACTAAAGTTGTCAAACAACCTTCTATGTAAAAAGACTGAGGAAATCATTTCATCTATAAAATGTCCTTAGCAGAACGTCTCTGATTAAGGTGCCCTAGAAAGTGGCACATGGGCTATTTAAACTGAGATATAAAATGGTGACACTTCATAATTTAAATGCTACTACTGTAAGAGATGATCCTGCAAACTGAGAGACTTCATCTAGTCTAGGTCAGAGACACCTATGTCCACCATCAGAAGAGAGGACAAACGGAGTTACCCTCAACATCTCAGGCCTCTATTTTTGTCCTTGCAATTATTTAGCAATTAATTCCTATAAAAATGAGCAATGGAAAAATATCGAGGTCAAATCCCATGCAAAATTCTTATAAAAAGAATTTGAGCCAAATTGGACCCCTATCGATAATATATACCATAAGAAAATGCTCACATCATAGACAAAATTATGATTTACTATTTCAACACTAGATAAAAGACAATATGAAAAATGATACAAGTTGGCATATACCTGAACTAGAAATAAGATGGCAGAACTCAGAAAATAATTCAAAATTAAGAAAAATCATTTCAGAAATAAAGACTAAAAAAGGAAAACAAAAGTGAAAAAAAACCCACCGGTAATGCATTATAGTGGGGATTAGCAAACTATGACCCATGCACCAAATCTGGCCATCACCTGTTTTTACAAATAAAGTTTTATTGAAACACAACCAATGGATACCTTCATGGTGCAAAATCACAGCTGAGTATTTGAAACGGAGACCATATAGGGCACAAAGCCTAAAATACTTATTGTCTGGCCATTTACACAGTGTTTCCCAACTCCTACAATAAGAGAAATGGAAGGTAAAAGAAGAAATACTTTGAAAAGCAAAAATGAAGATACACTAGTATATATTTTTTTTAAAGGATACAAGAGTAAGTGACAGTTATCAGTGGCTCTGGGGAGGTAACTACAGGCAGTTATTATTTAAACAGGCAGGGTTTCTATTTAGGATAAAATATTTTAGAAATGGACAGTGGTGATGGTCTTACAACACTCTGAATGTTAATGCCATTGGAGTGTACACTTAAAATGGTAAATTTTATGTTACATATATTTTATCAAAAAAAAAAAGGAGCAAGTGGCAAATTTGGAAGACAGGCAAAGTTCCAATATACATAAAACCAAGAAAAGAATACTAAAAACTGGAATTTAAGAAAACTTGAATGCATATATGCATAACTCATGGACACAGACAATAGGGTAATGAAGGCCTGGGGCAGGGAGTAGGGGCCGCCTTAATGTGGTCAATAGGGGGGAAAAAGGGATTTATGGAATACTTTCAACAATAAAGATTTAATTTAAAAAATAAAATACTATGAAATCTCAGAATTCAATGCTTTGTTAAAAGCCTTTTTTTAAAGACCTCACCTGAATTTTTCTTTAAAAAGGAGACCTCATCAGAATATATTGACCCTTTAACAAAATTATGTCACTACGAGGCACTGAAATAAGAAGATATCATCACTCTAAATTTATATGATTTATAAAGTTTTGACTGCTATCCTTTGAACAATAGAAAACTGGGGGTCAAGGATCTTATCTGTAGAAGAGAAAGTCTTACATAAACTCTAGTCAACAATATAGGACTGGGTCATTTTGATATAGCCATCTTAAGAAGTCATTAGAAACAGTGTTTTGAGAACTGTATCAAAAATGAAAACTGAAGATTATGTTTCTAATTGTGGATAGGGTGATTCCATTGTCTCTAAGCCATATTTTATTTTATTTTTTTTTCTAAGCCATATTTTAAACAAATAATTATCACAGTCCAAGATAGGATAGGATTCTTACTTGTGCTCCTTGGAAAGAATTTTGGTAATACTCGTGGTAATATTTTTTAAATGTCATAAGGTTTAAATATGATTTCTGAGATCTTTAAAAATTGATTCATTTCATTCTATAGAACTGTAAACTCATTTTAAAATGGAAATAGCCAAAACCGGTTTGGCTCAGTGGATAGAGCGTCAGCCTGCGGACTGAAAGGTCCCAGGTTCGATTCCGGTCAAGGGCATGTACCTGGGTTGCGGGCACATCTCCAATAGGAGATGTGCAGGAGGCGGCTGATCGATGTTTCTCTCTCATCGATGTTTCTGGCTCTCTATCTCTCTCCCTTCCTCTCTGTAAAAAAAATCAATAAAATATATTTTAAAAAAATAAAAATAAAAATAAAATGGAAATAAAGACATTAATTAACATCCTTCCAATCTTTACTTGGCTAGCTAGTTGGACTCATCTTTTAAATCCCTGCTTAAAAATCTCTATCTGGAAAGACAAAAGTCCCTATTATCTGCTCCAACAGATAGTATAATAATGTACTTTTTCTATCACTTTAGGCTACATACTTTGGGGGATTTTGTTATTATTGTTCTTGTCTAGCTGTCCCTACCAGCCTGTAAGCTCCATAAGGGTAAGGACTACTTATTTGCCATTTCAAAATTGTATCCTTATTTAACACCTGTTCTATGATAATAAAATATTTGTGAAAAATGAACTACAAGTTTTAAACTTTTCCAACCATCCAAGAGATTGTACCTATTTCCTATCTTTAAAACAGCTATTCAGACAATTCAATGAATAGCATTCCAATCAACTAATCGTCAACTGGAATTACTTTTAACTACTCAGACTATACATGATGGAGAAGACTAGATTTAACAAAGCTTTAATCTATACATAGAAACATAAAGTATGGTAAACTGACTATAGGGTGGTTTGTTTTTATACCATGGAGAGTTTTACTGTTTTTGTTTTGTCTTGTTTTCCACAAATGAACTAAACAATTTTTTTTTTCCGTAACAGCCAGTTCAATAACTACAACATAATTACAGGACTAAAACAAAATAAAAAGTAACTGTTACGACAAACAGAAGTAATTTGGGTGATATGCTCTACTTCGTGTGTAGCTAATCCTAAACAAGTTCATTATTACACAAATAAAAAATGTAAATATCATCTGTGATTACTTACAATGCAGTAAGCTGAGGAGTGACAAGATTTGTGAAAGAATATTAAAATAGTCAAATTTGGAATAAAGTATGCAAAAAACAACTTTGGTTAATTTATAACACCAGGCATAGGACTTTCATTTGGCCTAAAGAAAAAAAATGCTAATTCATCTAAAATAAGCAGTATCCTGAAGCAAATATCTGGTTAGATGAAAGCCTGTTTATGATTCAACTCACTACATTCCCAATAGTAATGTCTACTTGCCAAGAATGGATCCAGTAATCTAATAATGATTTCCTGTGTTTCTCTTACTGTTGATCTGGCCCATTAATGAGTCACAAACAGCATTTGTAAATAATGAAATGTATTCAGATATAAAGTATCAGAGTACAACACGTGTAGTAAAGGAAAGTATTGTTTCCTGAAACTTTTGATTCAATTTGTGTGTGTGACAATGTAAAATATGTTTCTAAGTATTGGTTGCAATAAAAATTGTGTGAATCTACTCTAGAAATATATACCCCCAATTAGTTCCTTTCCCCAAAACTGAGAAAGTAGAAATTCTCCATCACAATTACTCACAAAAATTAAAAGTGACATCGTTATAGGTTATCGGTTATAATAGTTGAAACTTGATTTCACCAGCTAGTCTAAAATCAAACTGTTTTGAGTTCAAATCCAGGTTCCACTACTTCCTGTGTGTATTTGGACTTATTTAAACGGTATGTGCTTCACTTTTGTCATCTGTAAAATGGGGATAAGAATATCTTGCAAGTTTTGGTAACAATAATAATATATATAGTAAGTTCTTAAATCTTTTTCCATTAATATAGCAAACTGAAGGCATGATATATATTAGAAATGGCAAAAAACTTAACAGAGGTATCTTTGGCTTGTTATCTTTGATGTCTGTGTGTGTGGTGCTTTTTAATTTTGTATATTTCTGTCCTATATAAATTGTATAATGAATAATTTAACATGTATATTTCTAATGTCATGTTTCTGATGTAGATAACATTATAACCTTTATTTTTAAATACATTAATAGTAGTTAGGCTGTGAGAATATGTCCTTTGCTTTTGTTTTATATTTCTTTAGTTTATTAAAATATACTAGATGTTTTTAAAATTAAAAAACTAATTCCAAGGTTTAGGAATTAGAACTTTTCCTTGAGAACTTATGTGCCGAGTGCTTCTCACTAAATACGCACACCATCTTAGTATAAAATTTTTGCCCATGAGAAAACGGAGGCAGCTGACATGAGCTAAGCTGTCTCTGTTAGACAAGTAACAAATAACAGTGTCAGGACTGCAAATCCTATTATTTCTCCTATTACCACATAATGCATCCAAATATTCTCCAGTTGTTTCATAGAGAGATATTGTGATCTACCAATTAGACTGTACACTTGAGAAAGGGGGAAAGTTTCACAAACTTTACTTTTGTCTCCCACAGGTTTACCAAAACTAGGACAGATCTTAAACACTTGTGGAGTCGCACTCAACTTCTTTTGTTCTACGCTCTCCTCAAGGGACACATACCCTTGTAAAAACGAAATAAACCAGCAAACAAACGACAAAACTACTCTAAGACTGCCCAAATCTAACTTTGTTCCTACATAGACAGTTTACGTATACCCATATCCAGGGACTACCAGGAAGGGGGTTCGGGAATGAGTACAAATGTCACTAAAAAGAATGGATTCCCACGTCCCCCCCACCACGCCCCCGTCACCCAGGCGCTAAGGAAAGGAACCTCCGTGCCTTGTCCCTCCGCGAGGGGTTCAAGAGCCATAACCACGCCCCCATCTGTTCCATCACAATAACTTCTTTTTCTTTCCCGACCGGGCCCCTAACTTCAAAACCCTTAAAAAGCAATACTGAAAAGTTTCTGACCTGCGGCGAAGTGCAGGGGAGACGATTTCCGGCCGGCCATGTCCTTGGCGTTCACGTTGGCCGCGTCCACCAGCCGCTTCACCCGGGACACGTCCCCATTGCGGCAGGCCGGCCCCAGTGCGGCTGCGGGGACAACTCCCGCCGCCTCGGGGCTCTCCGCCAAGCTCGATCCCGGGGAGGACGGAGAAGAGGAGGAGGAAGAAGTTGGGGAAGAAGAGGACGACGGTGAATTATTACTGCCACCGCCGGATGGGTTGGGAGGGACCCCGACGGCAGATGAAGCGGAAACCCCCGGTACCACGGGAGCGGTGGCGACGGTACAGATTGTGCTGGTGGTACTGCAACAGCTGGTACTGTCCACCGGGTCCGGGGATCGGGGCCTGTCGGGCGGATCCCGACTGCCATCCCCCTCTGG